GATTTAGATTTTTGGCACGATCTCCAAATTATCGAGTCGTAACGAGGTCATTGACTGAATTTGCTAGTCAAATTCGTATAAAAAGTTTCAAGTAAAAAATACAATTATCGGTTGAGTCAAGTAGAGTACAATTTTAATTCAAATGTTTACGGTACATATCAGAATAATACTTTTGTCTAGTCTACACATCCAATAAAAAAATTTCTGTTACCAGTCGTAAACATAGAGCAAAAACCGTCGGATGTCTGTTGTTTTTTCGTGTCGTAGACGTATGAGAAGGCTGAATATAATTGTAAAGTAAATGTATATGAAAAAATATTAAATCAGGGCTGTCACAAACCGTAGAATTAAGATAAATTTTATCTGTTTGACAGCCCTGGTTTCTTTGTAAGAAATCTGTGAAAATATATATCGGCTAGCTGAGTACAGACTTTAAATCCAGATTGAACTCAAGGCTAACTAAATTTACCGATAAAACAAGCATCTCAATTAGATTTGCGTTAAAATTGTTTTAGAAATCGCTATAAACTCTTACACAATACGCAGTATAGCCAATATTCTTTATATTAATATGTTAATAAAGTGTTACTTAAATAACAAAAATCCCTGACTTACTTAAGCCCTTAACAAATCAAACAAATTACACCTTCAACTGCCCATAGACTACAATGCTAATTTTTTTATAATTTATTCAGCTAAAGACTTTAAAACACATTTTTTGTCTATGAAAAACTAGTTCTATTCGAGGCCATAGATTAAATTCGTAACGGGTGACAGTAAATAATTTTTTTTTCTGCCAAAAGTTTTATTTTTTCTGCCATCATTTTTTTAGGCAGATACTCAATTTTTTCATTATTTTTTAATGCAGTTATGTTTATAATAGCAACTAACTAATTTTAACTTGTTTCCAATATACGAACATCAAAATATTTTTTCTATACTATTATAATAAAGCGTAAACACACACTTCTTTGTTGCCTAAGATCTCAGCTACAAGATATTTTTGAATAATTCTTTTTTTTATAAAAAGCCTTACACTTACGTCACGCTAAAAGCTATATATCATCACGCCATTAAACTTAGGGGGTAAATATTTTGGATAAAACCCTAATGTGGGAAAGAGACTATAAGTTGCTGCCAACATCAAGGATTGCCATAGTAAGGTAATTGGTATTTTGACATTTGCTATTGATAATTTAACAAATGCAAACAATAAATTTATAATTTCATGCGGGTGAAGACGCACGCGAACAGCTAGTCAGTAATACGCAGTCAATATTGGGAGTGAGCGCAGTTTGCCTCCGTACAACTGTTGTGCGATTGTCGATCGTTTCGCTTCCAATTCAACTGTTTAGTTGCACAACTAAAAATCGAGTTGTGTGCTCATAGGAATCAAAGCAAGACTAAACAGTTATGCGATAGCCAAAGTTGCGCGTGCTCTAATAATGAAGACCATAGACATCGTCTTTTTAATCAATTTTGACGTTCCGTTACCTGCCTCCGGCTGACGTTTGATTTGGCGTCATTACTACATTCAATATAACGGTAATTTTATATAATACTGCTTAATTTAATACTCTACGTGTGTGTTTTTATGTATGTTCCGTGTACGGCATTGTAATTGGATGATTGGAGTGTCGAAAGTGTTTTAATATGTACTTCTATTTAGAGTTTTGACAGCTGGTTACTCTTTGACATCTGATAATAATGTAATTGTTTTTACAATGTTGGCCACCTGTTGGACAAAGGTGATTGGTTTTCAGCCACGATGGTTTCTGCAGTTGTGAAGTTAGTTGTTCTTATTATAGTTTTTTTTCGACTGCACAAAAAATCAATACAGACACACCCGAAAACAGAGGTCAAAGACCTTTTCAAATTAATTACCAGTTCATTACCAACGTTGAATAATATTTCAATTGTCAGAGAGTTATAAATAAGTTTGGATGTGGCATTATTTCTAAAAGAATGTAGTAGAAGAAAATTAAATCTCTCACCATTAGAAGGCTACGTTATCGCCGTGTATAGGCTATATTTTTTGCATGTGGACAAAGTCGCAACAGCTAGTGTTTAATATAATTTTAGTGTCTAACCACAGCTGCATAGCGTGCGATTCAAATGTCGAGTGCATCAACCTATTTGATGCACATGTGGTGCAAGCCTGCATTATTAGTTTATATCATGCATGTGCAAATAATATGAAATATAACGGGTATTTGTGTCACTCGTGTGGGATAGTTACACTTATGGAAAGTCGTTAGAAATTTGTCCAAATACATGTAATTTAGAACATGGAGTATAGATTTAATTCCCATAGGCATCGTCAGACAATAGTCTAAGCTAGGTCTAAGGGCTATCATTAATAGTTTGTTATTTAGCGTAGTTTTATATCTATACTGTTTTTTTAAAAGAAGAAAGATTTGTATTTAAAATAACTCAAAAACTACTGGACCGATATCAAAAATTCTTTCACCAATAAAAAGCTATATTTTCAGTGAATAACATAGAGAAGATTTTTATGTTCTATATTTTTTTGATTTTACTAGGGTGGAGAAGGGCCAGGTTATACCCTAGTCTACTCGGGAGACTCATTTGCTAAGACCTAATTACAATAAATATCATATACTTAGTAATTGAAGCCGACTGGTTTTAGATAGAAAAGAAAATGTAGTTATTTATAACGACAGCTGTAACTTTTAGATGTTTTCTAAAAGTAAATAAATGTAAGAAGATAATCTTAAACGACTTCATAGTATTTTTATCCATCTTATTGACATATTAAAACGAAATAAATTGTGTAAATAAAATGTACATTTACGTAAAGTACTATAAAATTATCTCCAATAAGAAACTTAACACTTAAAAATATTACTATCGATGTAATAAATGTAGATACCGCATCCATTTGTCATTTGCGTCACGAATGAAAGTGATTCTTGTAAATTTCGGGGACACAAAATGGACTCGATGCACGCAATGTAAGGATATGCTTGCTATCAAGTTTTTGTGAAACCAAATGGATGTATAAAGAGATAGCTGTTGCTCGCGACTTCACCCGCGTGAAAAAATAATAAAAATATAAGCCTATGTTACTGATAACGTAACTTTTTAATGGTGCAAGAATGTAAATCGGTCTAGTAGTTTTTGAGTTATTTCAATACAAACAAAAATACAAATCTTTCCTCTTTACAATATTAGTATAGACGAAAAGAATTTTATATTTAACTGGATCTTTGTTGGATGGGATTATAAATTTGACGCTGGCAACCGATAGCTTCGCATGGCTCTAAAACTGATACGAAAAATTAAACATTAATATGGGACCCACTTGCAAGCACTATCTTTCGGATATAAAATAATTTTCAACATCGGTCCACTAGCGGCGGTATGCCGTAACACACATAAAAATATACAGAGGAATTGACCTCCTTCTTTTGGGATGTCTGTCAAATGTGTTTGTTTCCATCACATTAGAAACCTCTAAATTTGTATTTCTCTATTGTTAATCATTTCTTTCATCGTAATCTAGTTTGCAAAATTTCACAACTTTCAAAATTTCAATTAACATCTGTGAAATATTCAATGTATGAATCAATATTTGCACTTTCTTTGCAAACACGCCAATTCTCACATATTATCTCTCACCTACATTTTGTTGCGAATTTCAAGATAATGTGACAGTGATAACAATTTTAACCTGCATAGAGGCGCGATTTTACACTCTTGTATGCTTTAAAATCACTCTTATTTCGTTTACCTAGTGTTCATATTGCAACACTGAAAAAAGTCACATTTTAAAACCGCATATGAACATGGAAATGCATATGTTTTATTTTAACGCTTTTATAACGCGCGTTATAAAAACGCCCGTGAGCGTAGGTATTTACACTCCTTGTAAAATCTACACTAAAAATGGAGATTTATGTTTTTTTAATCAGTAACGAAGACAGTAACAGTAGTTGAGCCCGCTTTATCATCTTCGCACTGTAGTGTCGGCTCGCCCTGTGTAATACATGACCACACAGAAAACAGGCGTGAAGTGGGCGCAATTCTGCTTACAGTCTGATGAGTTGGTGCCGGAGGATCACTTTAGTCCCTTTTCCTTCCCAACCTTTTTACTATACGGAAAGGATGGGAAGGTAACGTGGATTTGAAGACACGTAGAAAAAAGAAACTCATAAACTTTTATTCATTATTATTCTTTTTAATGCCATGGTTTGGACTACGTACTAAAACTCTCTTTATTGGCCTGTACCAGACAGATATACTCTAAAAGTAGGACGACAGATTTTTGGTAAACTTCTAAATCTCTTG